AAAATTAAGATTTCACGTAAAAATAATGTTTCGTACTTTCTGTACGTGTACAAAAATACATGATTACTGTTTACAAAAAAAATATCTAAACATTCTTACTGACCACGAAACATCTGGTAAATAATCCACGAAAGAAGATGTTACTGTGAACATCGATACAAAAACGCAAACGCGAAATGCTACGTAGCTGGGTTAGGATCTACCAGCCAGTGTAGATGAGATTATTTACAATAGCTGCACTTCACCTAGAGAACATCCTGTTTTCTGTAATTTTCCATTTCTGGCAAGTTATGCCATCCATTGAAATGCAATCGAACTTTGGAGGTTTTCAAATTTTGGAATTTTGGATAAATGATATTCAACCTGTAGCATTTAAACAGCATCATGGTTGGAGCAAGATAAGATCTAAGGATAATAACGACTTATCGATTGATCCCTTGCTTTACACTTTAAACTAGACACATCTGGCAAATTTATTTCAAGAAGGACTAATCAATCAGTCCCCCTTGTGTATGAATGAAATAGTCCCTTTTCATCTAAATGGCATGCATTTGCATGTTACATTTTACCGTGTCTTGTCGCATTATTAGGATTGCAGTTTCTTATATAAGCACACAATTATCTGCAATGTTTCCCGAGTATATAATGAAATTGTTGAATGTTCAGTATCTAACAATATATTGTTGACTTTTAATAAGATAATATTTAATTTCATATCTCTGTCATTAATGCAACAATTCCACCAGTCTATCTATCTATCTATCTATCTATCTATCTATCTATATATATATATATATATATATATATATAGAGAGAGAGAGAGAGAGATAGATAGATAGATAGATAGATAGATAGATAGATAGATAGATAGATAGATAGAGCGGACCAATTTCTTGCGTCCCTTAACAATATACACCCGGCCTTGAAATTTACGCAGGAAAAGGAGGCTGATTCATCTTTTCCCTTTCTCGATGTACTCGTCAGCATATCTACGTCAGGTTTTATTACTTCTGTGTACCGTAAACTGACGTTTACTGGTTTGTATATCCGTTGAGATTCTTTTTGTCCCAGGAAACGCAAAATCAATTTAATTAAGACCCTTACGTACAGAACTCTCATGATCTGTTCGGACATCAAGTTGGATGACGAACTCAGGTTTATTACTTCTACTTTCTGTAACAATGCCTACCCATTGAGCATTGTTCAAACAATTATTAAGTACAAAATTCCTGAATTTAACAAAGTGAAAGCCGCTATAGTGAAAAGATGTCCTGTGTGTCTACGCCTTCCTTGTCTAGGTAGTATCAGCGATAGGTTTGCTAAGCAGGTTTCTACCGCAGTTCGACATTGTTACTTTGCCGTTAATACTCGTGTTTTTTTCTCTGCCAGACCCGTTCTTCCGTCTATACGAAAAGATGTTCTCCCAACACGCCATAATAGTTCACTAATTTATTCCTTTATAGGGAGAACGACAAATGCTAGAATAAAACAACACGTTCCAGCGAAAATTCGAAACCGAAAGTACATTCCGTCGGACATTCTGACCAATACGTATGGGTCTTCCATCACAGAACATCTTATAAAAAGCCATAACTGTGCTGTTAGTCTTAGTGTGGACGCTTTTACCATCCTTAGCAAGTCTCACTCAAATTACAACCTAAAATTGTTGGAGGCCATCTACATTCTATCTTGAAAGCCTTCACTTTGTAAACAGAAGGACTTTATATTAGGCCTCCAACTAATTACTCTTTAATTTTTTTCGACCAATAAAATTTGTCCATTGTTCTATTTTTATTACATACTTTACTCTATTTTCATTGATTTAGCTCTGTTGAGCGAGGTACGAAACCTGTTAGATAGCCCGTTTTTCATTTTTACTTTTTTATTATCATGAGTGGTAATAATAAAAAAAAATTATCTATTCATGGCAGTGCTAAAATTTTGTACCACCAAACATTTCTATATCTATATCTACACACACACACACACACACACACACACACACACACACACACACATATATATATATATATATATATATATATATATATATATATATATACCTAGAGACGGTAGCCCAATATATCATACCACTATCGAATCAGGCCGACTCTGTGAGCAAATTAAAAAAAAAATTTCCGGGATGGATCCGGACACGCAATCCTGAGATATTAGATTCCCAATTTCTTATTGCTGCGATTGTTTTAGGAGTCCGCCATCTTGGCTTCTACACATAAAAACAATTAAAGGGACACAACTCTTTAACTTTCAACTCATGTTCAAATAAAAAAAACTGTTCTCAAATCACAGTGTTGCAAAATATAATTGTCCGTGTTTACGACTTTCTTCATAAAGGCCGTGTCCCAACATATTTAGTAATTAGGCAGAATCTGTGAGCAAATTAAAAACATTCTGTGCCGAATCCGGACCTGCACTCGTGAAATTTTGTATTCCCAAATTTTTATTACTGTGAATGTTTTCAGCGATTTATTTTACCTGATTTTTAACGGGGAATTTTTTTTTTTTTTTACAATAACCATTTTTATTCATTAGAAATCCAGCGAAAGTGACCCATGAAATAAACGTAATTGTTTGTACAGAACTTAAGGACCTACGTACATCGAATTATTATTAAATTAAGTAGTAGATGAATTATCGTTGAACTTTTAAAAGTTAAGCTTAAATATTAATGCAAAGCTTAAATGCAGTGATCAATTCTTTTGTTCTTTTGTAGTTTATTATTGCTTATCGCATCTTTTCCCAATCAACATCCCTCCGCTGGCGCTAACTTAAATGCCGCCTGATAGGCTCTTTAAGCTAGTCTAAATATATATATATATATATATATATATATATATATATATATATATATATATATATATTTGGACTATTTGCTTGTACTTGGTGTGCTGCGCTTCTAGCATCTTTGTTGGTATAATTTTTTATAATTATATTTTTCTTCTCCCTGTCCACTCATTCATGTCATCCATGACACACTTTTTTTTTCCTTTTCTTCATAATTTTAGTTCCCCGTTAACAGTTCTGATGAGAGGGGACGAAACCGGTCGACTGGTGTGTGTTTTTGCTTTTATTTTAAATCTATTATGGCCTATAATATAAAATTTCTTGCTTTTCATGCCATAATAGGTTTCTGTACTGTTTCAAACATATTTAAATATATATACACACACACAAACACACACGCACATATATATATATATATATATATTTATATATATATATATATATATATATATATATATATATATATATATATATATAGGTAACTATACTCGTTTCGAAAAAACCTTCGAATATTTGATTTGCCAATAATCAAATTTATCTCGAAAAAAAAAAAGTTTTAAGAAAAGAAAGAGCTAGAGACATTTCCTGATGATCCGCTTAGATGAAACCTGGGTAAGTTTGTCTGGCTCACTAGGTTTATATCTATCTATCTATCTATCTATCTATCTATATATATATATATATATATATATATTCTTCCATGTATAAAATTTAAATATCGTCGTCCAGGTTCAGCATTAATATTTTTAGGCTACTTCTATCATTTTTAACAGCATAAATCAGATTCTTTTAGCATTTTAATATTACTGATGGGGAAGTCGTATCTGGTAAATTTTCTCTTGCAAATATTTTCTAATTCACTTTTGCAATGACGTTATCATTTACGCTAAACCTAGTCTGTAAATTTACTAGTAACCTGTACAAATGAGAAATCCCAAAGGATGCAATATTCTGATTAGAAAACAAGCTATTAATGGCGATATTTACTACTGGATGCCGACCACATGCTTCACAATCGTCCATGACTGCAGGACAAAGAGATGGCCAGAACAAAGACATTGTCATTATATTCCAAGTTGCCATTCACCGTACAGTTTCATTTCGATCAGATACGTTAGGCCAGATACGGCTATCACATTAAAAGAAATATGTCATTTCAACGACAACTGTAATTATAATTATTAAGGCAAGCCCAGGCACAAGTATTACGTCGAAAATTATTACGAATATGACAATTACCAATTTCACAGCTACAGCAATAACTGATATTATAACTACTCGATTTAGAATATTAAAATTACAAATATTAAATCTGTTATCGGCAAGCAGGACAGACCGACATTAGCTTTTCATTCCTCTAATAATATCGACACAATATGACTCAAATATATACATCTCTAACTACAACAGCAATTTTATTTGTAACACTACCTATGGAAAATAAATAACCCAGGGATATTTAGATATTTTTGCAACCTTAGATTTTATCAAATTAGATACTATAGGGATAATTTGAGTAACTACCGGCTTAATTAGGTGAGAGTATTTTTATATAAAAGTTCGTCTGACAAAATTTTATGAAAATTTACAAAGAAAACTATGAGATAGCGATATATAAATGTTTATATATCGAGAATAATATTGAGAAAAATGTTTGAAAAATTGGAAAATGTTTTCATGTTTCGTCCATTAGGAATGAATTGGACTAAGTTTGTTATGCTGGTACGACTGCACATGCGCACGAACGATGTGTTAGCGCATAATTGATAATGAAAACGAAGCGTCTGTTGCAAGTAATTAACACCTTAACAACCGCCTGAAGAACAGAATAAATCTGCTTTTACATGCATATCTCTTGTGATATAAAAGTAAATAATAATTAAACCCGGATTATTTGTTTCTGAACAACTTTATGGATGATGTAATTGGATTTGAACCGCATATTTTACAGGGGCAAAATATAGTATTAGAGAGATAAGAGCAGACATATCAAAAGGCCATTCATAAACAAATTATAACCGAGAAGAAAGGTAACAAAAATATACATTACCGGGTATTGGTAATGCCGAACTGTGACGAATAACAAAGCCTAAACCTGTTAGGTAATATGAGTAACGTTTAGTATTTACTAGGAAGAAACAGCCAGCATATGTAGATAGTGAAATATAATAAAATAGAAAGAATGCGTTTATAGA